TAGATTTTTTTAAATGCCAGTTGCAAGACACTGGTGGAATTCCCATATTATAAATTGGTTTGATAATTTTCTAGAATGACTCACAGAACTCTGGGAAATACAACTCAGGAAAAGCCAGATGAGAGATGCATAGGGCAGGCACAGGATGGATGTGTGTGCCTGTCATTTTCATGACCTCTCTAGGTGTCACCCTCCCAGCACCTTGATGTATTCATGGAGCTAGAAGCTCAAATTTCCCTATTCAGCAGTTTTTCTAGATAGAGCTCAATCTCTAACCCACTGCCTTCCCAGGAGATTGGAAATGGAGCTGAAAGTTCCAACTCTCTCATCACTTGGTCTTTCTGGTAACCAGCCCCATCAGCGGCTGGGGGCCACACCCTCGTTAGCATAAAGGCAGGTGTGATCTAAAGGAGTCTGTTATGAATAACAAAAGATGTTCCTATCACTTGGGGAAGTCCAAGGGTTTTAGGAGAGCTCTGTACCAGAATAAAAACCTGAGGATGAAGACCAAACATATTTATTATACCATAATATTTAACAGACACATATATTTTTACATTGCTCCAGAACTGAGAAGAGTATTGCACAAACTGGCCCTCTCCAACTCCTAGGCATCCTTCCCTAATCACAGAAGCGATTTTCAGCCTGTGTCAGTCACACAGAGGCCCTGTCAGGATGGTGCCCAGGCCCCTGGCCCTGGGTGGTCTGATGCCTGGAGGGTAGTCATAGGTCCCCGAGGTGGGGTAGGAGGTGGAGTGCCTGGGTCCCAGAGGATGTCCTCATATAGGCTTAGAACTGGGCCCGAGGGCTGTCTTTTAGCCCCAGTCTGCTCCAGGAGAGCTCTGAGCAAGCCCACAGTGAGAGGGGGTTCTGCTCCAGGCTCAGGGAATGGGGTAGGGGGCTCCGACCCATCGGGGAGATGTGTCTGCAGTAGCAACAGGAGCTCAGCTGGAGCTAGGTCTGGTGGGCACAGGCGGCACAGGAGGGGGAGGTGAGCATCAAGCTGGCGGTGCCGGGCAAATTCGGCCAATAGCAGTTTGAAGATCTCACTTCGAAGTAGGGGGCTGGAGTGGCCGAGGGCTAAGCCAGACTCTAGGGCCCGCTCCCACTGCCCCTTTTTCACCAGCTGCCCCACAGCTTGGAGCACAGCTTTGGGCCGCCCACTGCCCAAAAGCAACTCTAGCTCTAGTGCCTCAGGCCTGGTCCCCTCCTCACCCAGTACTGCCAGGGCTCGGCGATACAGGGGAAGCCCAGGGCCCCCGGTCCCCCAACCAGGCCCACCCTGCTGCTGTGCCAGCTCCACAAAGGGTGGCAACCATCGTGGCTCCAGTTGGCAGAGGCATTGGCACAGGAGTTCAAAGAGGGGCAGTACCCCATTGGGGGGTTCCTTTCCAACTGCTGTACCCCCTAGTACCTTCTTCCATACATCAGGGGGAGCTTGAGACCTCAACCTGCCATTCCCATCTGGTTGGAGCTGCAGGGCCCTGAGGATGGCACCCCAGGCTGCTGTAGGAAGGGCTTGGAAAATGGTGTTGAGCTGAGCCAGCTGGTCTCCTGTTAACTCAGTCCTTAGCAGACGTGCCACTTCCTGCTCTGCCAGCTCCGTCCAGCCAGCCTCCTCCTCATCCCCAGCCACCAGCTGGGCTTTGAGCTGCTCTAAGCCCCGGTAATCCCGAAGCTCGGCCCTCAATGTGGTCAACAGTGTAGATGGGGACACATGGCCCTGGAGGATGGAGGCCAGGGCCTGAGGTGCCCGGAATACGTTGTTCTGTCTCAGTTCCTCTGGGGTGAGCTGGGCACCCCGCAGGCTCCGCCGTTGGTAGTACTTGCAGGCTTCCTCAAACACCAGGTTTTCAGCTGAGGGCAGCTCAAGAGTCTGTGGGGCTTCCCATACTACTTGAAACAGACCCAAGGCTGAAAGCAAACGAAGACCCCCTCGGGTCTCCATCTCTTCCTCATCTTTTGTGCCAGGAGCTAGGGGTTCAAGCACATGTACTCGGTCTGTACTAAGGACCTTCCTCTCCAGCAGCTGCCCGCTGCCCATGTCCAACAATTCCAATGTGGAGCCCAGCACACAGGCTAGAGTGCCATGAAATGTTCCCAGTGCTGCAGACCCTGCTAGGCCTACAGGTGCCTCCTGCAAGGTGCCCACAGCTCGGGTACCACCATGGGACTGCACCAGGCTCACAGTTCCCCTGAAGTCAAGCAACAGCAGGCCCTGGGGAGTTGGGGCCCAGGTATGTACAGTCCACGGCTGCCTGGGGGACAGCAGCCCAGGAAGGCCTCGGAGCAGGGTCCGGAAGTCCCATGTGTCCCCTCGTCCAGGATTCAGGCTCTTACTGTAGGAGAGGCGAAGACTTGGGGCAGCCACCGTCACCTTCCCCTTACCTGGGCTCCAGATGAGCAGAATGTGGCTCACGCCAGGCAAGGTGGTGGCAGTGGGCACCAGGAAGAGGTCCTTGCGGGAGGCCAGTAGCCTGAAAGGGGGGCAGTGGTGGAGGAGGATGTGTGTGCGGCCCAGGTTGGAGCCGGTCTCCCCGCTGGGCTCCAGGGTCCTGACGCACACGCAGTGGCTGAAAGCGGCGGCGGCCGGCGGTACCCCGCCCTCCGCATCAGCCGGTCGCTCCTCGCACCACACCAGGCGGCCTCGGGGTGCCGCCACGGCCACCAACGCGGGATCCGCCGCCCGGACACAGCTCGGTGCTCTGGAGCAGCCGCCAGCCAGGCCCCACGCCCGCACCCCACACCTCCGCGAGTCCACTCTCCCACACCAAGACCAGCGCGGGTCGCACGGGCCACGGCAGGAAGAAGGCGTCCAGGGGCGAGGGGTGGCCCGCCGGCCAGGCACGCTCCAGCTCCTCGCCGAGTCCACGCACTGCGACTAGCAGCTGCGGGGCCGGCGCCCCCGGGGGCCGCAGCAGCAGCAGGTGGCGGCCATCGGGGCTGCAGCGGACTCGGACGGCTGGGTCCGCAGCCAGAAGCTCCCGGAGCCGCGCCGCGCCGCTGAAGTTGCTCAGGTCCGAGAGCAGGCGCAGGGTCGCCGCACGCTTCATGGTGCCGGCGGCCCAGTGGGGCTGGGCCCGGCGCTTGGTCCGGGGCTCCTAGGGGAGGTCGACGGAGGAGCTGAGACTTCCGTCCCGGGTCGATGAGGTGGGCGGAGGCCCGGCCTCAGTGCCTCCGCCCCGCCCCGCCCCGCCCGCCGGTTAGCGGAGGGCTGGCCCCCGCTCGCCGGGGCAGGGAGGAGCCTCCGGAGCCCCCGGAGCCCCCGGAGCCCCCGGAGCACCCTGGTGGCCGCGCCTCTGACCTCGCCATCCCCAGGGACGCTCTCTGAGCTGGGATGTGGGAAGCCGCGGAGTGGCCAGAATCTGACTCAGGAACTGATTATTCCGGTCCCGCTGAGCCCTGAACTGAAAGCCCTTCCCCAAGGCTTTCCTTCCCTCGCAGCCTCCCTCTCTCACCCCAACTTATTCACTCATTTATTCAGGAAATTTTATTGAGCACTTACGCTGAGTAGACAGTCCTGAGCAAAACAGAAACCCTCGACCTCCTAGCGGTGACAATTTAATGGAAAATAATTATAATAGCTAATACTTCCGTACAACAAGCCCCTTCTACAGATAAGGAAAATAAAGCACAGAGAGATTAAGTAAATTGACCAAGATCACGCAGCTATTAAGCAGCAGAGGTAGAGGTGGGCTTTCAACCACAGGTAATCTGAGTCCAGAGTCGGAATACCAAAGCACTTTATCAACAATGCATCACTGAAACTAACAGCCTGCTAGAAAACGTAATTAAAACATAGGTTAGAGGCACTGATTCTGGGTGTAATTTCTCCAGCAACACCTACAAGTTGATATGCAGGGGCTCTTTTCCACCTCTGACTGCCTTTTCAGGTCATGTGGTCGGTCTTCCTCCTCCCTCCAAGTCTAGTCCCTCTTCATGAGTCCTGCTTCTCCCTCTGTTCCCCCCCAAATTCCCTGAGAACCTGCATCCATTTCTACTTCATCAGCTTCATTCTGTCCTCTTGCTCTCGTCATAGAAACACTCCCACCTGTCCTGTCGTAGAAGTCACTCTTTCATCCTTATTACCTTTAGCCCTATTGTTCCCTCTCCCTTTCCTTTCAGTCAAGTTTCTTGCAAAGATCCTCTAGCGTTTGCTGCCTCCACGTTTTCTTCCATTCCTTTCTCAAACAACTACTTACCTGAAAGTCCCTCCTGTGGTTTCCACAGCATCTTTTTCCTCCCAAATTCCTCTTTTCTATCTTCAGAATTTTGTTTGCTATTGGTTCATCTTCCTCCACCATTCTTTAAATGTAGGTGTTTAAATTCTATCTTGACCCTATTTTTTTTAACCTTCTTCCTAGGTCATTCCCTCTCTTCTCGTGACTTGAACCATTACCACTAAGCCAATGGCTCTGAAATATTTATATCTGCTCAGTTCCATAAAATCATTGAAGTTACTGCCCAGCATATCTTTTTTGTAATCCTCACCCAAGGACAGGCTTAGAGAGAGGAAAAGAAAGAGAGAGAGAGAGAGAGAGAGAGAGAGAAAGAAAGAGAGAATCTGACCGGGGATGGAACCCAGGTATGTGCCCTGACTGGGAATCGAACATGCACAGGATGATTTTCAACCAACTGAGCCACTCCAGCTGGGCCCAGCATATCTTTTGTTTTTTTTTTTTTTAAATATATATTTTTTATTGATTTCAGAGAGGAAGGTAGAGGGAGAGAGAGAAAAACATCAATGATGAGAGAGAATCATTGATCAGGTGCCTGCTGCAGGACCCACTTTTTTTTAAAAAATTATTATTTTTTTTCCACTCTGGGGTTTGAGCCTGCAACCCGGGCATGTGCTTTGACAGGGAATTGAACCATGACTTCCAGGTTCATAGGTCGATGCTCAACCACTGAGCCACACCTGCCGGGCCCAGTATATATTTTTTAATCTTCCATTTTGCGTAAGCAAAAACAGACTCAGGTTACTTGCCAAGTTAACACAGCCTTACACGATGTTCTGCACATAGTCACACAATACATATTTGTTAAATGAATTTGTTTCCAATCTTTCACTTACAAAGTTGCCATAAATAGCTTGGAACATATATCTTTCCAAACTCTGCCAGTGTATAGTCATATTCAGATTCTGCCATATTTAAAAACATTGCTATTGCAACTTGCATCCAGCAGATCCTCATAGATATTTCTTTTGTTAATCTTTTTTCGCGGTGCATTTTGGGAGTTGTTGTCTTTGTGATGCTTGCCGGGAGTCGTGGTCTGAGCTGCCTCAGGGTGTGGACGACTCTACAGACGGCGGGCTTTAGGACCCTGCGGGGCACTGTGGGCCTGGGGAAGGGTCGGGAGGTCGGGAGCGCGGCCGTGAGCCCGGAGCAGCGGCGGCGTCGGTGGCGTCGGGAGCGAGCGCGCCCGGGAGCGGCGCGGGTGGAGGAGGAGGAGTCGGGGGCTCGGTAAGAGGCGCGGGCCCGGGCCGGGCTCCGAACCTGGCCAACCTCTGCGGGTCCTGCTGTAACTAGGCCGTGGCCCTGTGGCGGCTCTGGGGGCGGGGCCTGCGCTCGCCTAGGGGACGACGGGGGTGGCGGGCGGGGGAGCGGGGAGAGGGAGGGAGGACAGATGCTGAGACTGCGTGAGGCGAGGAGGCTGGGCCCGGGGCGGCGGAGCGGAGCCCGAAGCGCTTCGGTTCTCCAGCCGCGGGTCCCTCGGAACATCCGGTCCGGTGCCTGTCAAGTCCCTCCTGCTCCCTGTTGGGCCCTCCCGGCAGCCGACCTTTGACCCCAACACGGGGCTGACCCTGACCCCTCAGGCAGCCTCCCCTCCGCAGATTGTTCCCGCTCCTGGGTGGCCTTCAGCCCAGCCTGGCCTTGGGGTGAGGGCTTGGGCAAGACCCTCGAGAAGGATTGGGGCGGGCCGACCTGACCCTAGTCTTCAGGTGTCCCGGAAGGGCCCCATCCTGTCGCTCTTTTAGTCACTGACCGACGGTCTCGAGCCCACCCTTCGCACAGAATCAATGGAGCCACCGTGCTTTCTCCTGGTTACTTGGTGCGAGGCTGGGAAAGGAACCTGTTCCCAGACAAGTGTGGGGAATAAACTAGTTCCCGGAGGAAGGGAGCTATCAGAGGCCGTGGAGTGCTGCCTCTGCAGAGTGGGGAAGTAGAATTTGGGCCGGGCCGAATAAATGTTTTTTGATCATAAGACCCTCCCCAGTTACTCCTCTACAGAAAAAGTTTTGAGCTGAGCAAGACCTGTTTCTTTGCTATCCTGAGCTCTCAGTGACGTGTAAACCAGGGCAGATGTGGTTTATGTACCTGCCCTTAACTTAGCACAAGTTCGTTGGAATTGTTTGGGTGTGCCTTCAGTTGGATTTGTGTGCACAGTGCGTCCTATGTAAAGTCTTTTTAGATGACCAGTCTAGGGACAGGTGGATCCTTCTTGGTAGGGTTGTAAAGGGGAAATTACCATTCTTTTAGTGAATAGGGGAGCCTTTAAGGCAGCGGTTCTCAACCTGTGGGTCGCGACCCCTTTGGCGGTCGAACGACCCTTTCACAGGGGTCGCCTAAGACCATCCTGCATATCAGATATTTACATGACGATTCATAACAGTAGCAACATGACAGTTATGGAGTAGCAACGAAAATAATTTTATGGTTGGGTCACAACATGAGGAACTGTATTTAAAGGGCCAGAAGGTTGAGAACCACTGCAAGGTGTTTTCTCTGGAAGTTTAGGCATTAATTCATTCACCTGTTCAACATTTGTATAATTTAAAAGAAAAACCTTGAAAACTCAAAAAAAATTGTTATAAAACTTGAAATTTCACATAGAATCAAATTCAAGAATTCATTTGGGGAATATTGCCAAATAAATTGATTCAGGATATATGAAGGTGAACTGTTTATTCAACATGCATTTTATTGAGCATTTGCTATGTAACTGGGACTGGGGTTAGAAATATGAGTATTGCCCTGGCCTGGTAGAGCACATACAAGAATAAGCGAATGAATGCATAAATAAGTGGAACAGCAAATTGATGTTTCTCTCTGTCTCTCTCCCTCTTTCTCTCTAAAATCAATCAAAAAAAAAAAAAAGAAATAGGAGTGTCTTTCCTAAAGGACATTAGAAAGACTTATTCATATGAAAATTGTGCTGTGTGTTACATGTCATTATAAAGGAATTTATACAGTGTGAAGGGACTACTGCCATTCCTGGGAGAGTCAGGGAAACCTTCACAAGGGGGAGATAGGTTAGTTGGGTGATGAAGAATGAGTAGGAGTTTGCACAAGTAAGGAAAGGCATTCCAGTTGGAGAGAATAGTATGTACATAGAAATGGTGCAATGTGAGAAAAAAAATAACATGATGTTTAAATGTCAGAAATTTGTCCCAATCAGGATATGTGGTGGGGAAGTTGTCAGGAGGTGCTTTTTATGTTACGGAATGACAGAAGTGCAGATTAAAGTAATGAGAAATGAGGCAGTGAGACCAATTAGAGTTGGTGCAGTTAAGTGAGAGTCTGAATAAAGTGTGGCAGTGCGCATGAAGAATGGATTTTAGAAGTAATTTGGAGATAGATGCAATAGGATTTAATGACTGGAGAGAGTGGGCTATGGTTTCTAATTTGAGAGATTGGCTGAATGGGAATTCCACTGGCCAGGATATGCACTGGGAAAAGTAGAACATATTTTTAAAGAGTTGGGGTGGCTATGGAAAGAGGTACAGAGGAGATAGTCTGGTGTGCTGAGGTCAAGTTCCTTGTGGTTGGGATGTGTACCAGTATATGGAGATATTAGTAGGCAGCTGGAAGTGAGTTTAATACATTGGCAATGGTAAGTGAGGGCATATCTGAAAAAAAATCCTGGGGAAAATCTTTATTTTGTTTGTTTATAAAGAAGTATCAGAATATGTACTTCTTCCATTGAATAGTGAGCTTCTCAAGGCAGGGACCATAACAGTAATTTTAGGTCCCCTTTTTGTCTTATACTATGCCTGTGTTATTATCAGGTTAGTTATTAAGTTAGCAGGAAATCAGTTTACTTTGTAAGGTTGCAGTTACCTTTTTGGGCTTTCTTAAAGAAGATTCTGGGAGTCTGTCTTATAATTTTCATTTTATACTTAGATGGTATTCATGAGGCTTGTATGGTTCAGTAGGAAAGGAAATGAAGAACATATGAGTGACGTTGTGCTGCTTGAGGAAGTTCAGGGTTTGAGCAGGAGATAGACAGTGTTAATTTACAAGAGGCTCCTGCTCATTGAAAAGAGAATCGTACAATGAATTTTCATTCTGGGAGATGTCAGAGGAATGTGATTTTCAATCAGTGTTTTCTGAAATCTTGTCAATTTGGAGTTGGTTCCTTTTTCTGAAGGTGCAAGTGCATCTTTCTTGTGTAAAATAATTTGAAAGGGAACCTGAGATCGTCATGTTTACTTAAACCTCTTCATCTGTATTATCAGTTTGTGAAGATAGGCAGATTTGGTCAATTCTGATGAGATTGGATTGAATTCTGTGAAGCTCCTTCACCTTTAGTAGGTACAGAAAGCTGTTGTTACGTAGAGTGGAGATTGCGAAATTCTTGATTTTGCCTCTTGCTGCTTAGTCTTGGGAAAATCCCTGAATTACTTCCACTTTCAAGTATAGGCACAACACTCACTCTGAGGTGAGCATTGCCCAGAGCACACACAGGATATGGATGCTGCCCATAGTGGCTCGTGTGCTTACTGAATCAGGCTGATTCTGTCCTAGTATCTAGAAAGTAGGGAAGATGCTTGTCAGACAAGGTCCCGAGTTGACTGGCTTTTCTTGGATAAAGTGAGAATGCTGATATTATGGATATCAGTATGGAGTCTCCATAGAACTTTAAGTGAATCTGGATTTTGAATATTCTAGTCAACACCCGAGTTTTTGCATTAACAGGTATTCTGATAGGGAGAAGGGCGACCAGAGAGAAATATTTAGTGGCTTTACCTACTTACTAGCTGTGTTACTTTGGGCAAAGTCGAATCTTCATTGTAAAAGTATGATAATACTACCTATTTCATCTGGTTATTGTAAGGATTAAATATAGTATATTTAAAGCACTTAGAACATTGCCAAGTGTGTGGTGAGTACTCAGTTGTGTTATTTATTATGTAATACCCTGAGTGGGAGGCGGTGCTTTGAAAGATTTGGAGGAGTAAGTGATGAATTCTATCCCCAGGAATTAAAAAAAGAAATGTAAAGTAAGGGGATGGTGGCCTGCCCTGGAGCTCTCCATGAAAGGAGGGAATCAGCGAGGTGGCTTCAAGAATGTAGGCCTTACACCATTTGGTAGCTATAAAAGACTTAGAGTGACTAGCACTAAAAATTCATTAAAATGGAAAGGAGTTGTATGCTTATCTTAGAGCCAATCAGTGGGTGGAATTGGAGGAACATGGTTTTTTTTTAAAAAAAAATATATTTTATTGATTTTTTACAGAGAGGAAGGGAGAGGGTTAGAGAGTTAGAAACATCGATCAGCTGCCTCCTGCTCACCCCCTACTGGGGATGTGCCGGCAACCAAGGTATATGCCCTTGACCAGAATCGAACCTGGGACCCTTCAGTCCGCAGGCCGATGCTCTATCCACTGAGCCAAACCAGCCAGAGCTGGAGGAACATGTTTTTCTTACATCGATATTTCTCTCTGTCTCTCCCTCTCTCTTCCACTCTCTCTGAAAACCACTGGAAAAATATCCTCTGGTGAGGATTAAAAAAAAAAAGAAGCTATGGCAAGGAACCATGAGGAATAATAGCAACACAGTACAGTGCCCATGCCTATGTCTGGAAAGTGAAGTAAATACAGATTCAGACAAGGTTAAATTTAGAAGGCCAGTCTGGACCATGTGGGCCAGCAAGTGAGCTAAATTCTTGGGGCTTCCAGAAATGAAGAAGCGACTGGCCTGAGTGGCTCAGTTGATTGAGTGTCATCCCATACACCGAAAGGTTGCTGGTTTGACTTCTGATCAGGACACATACCTGGGTTTTGGGTTTGATCCCCAATCAGAGCGTGTAGAAGGCAACTGACTGATCAATGTTTCTCACATTCGTGTTTCTCTCTCTCCTCTCCCCTTCCCTCCCTCCTTCCCTTTCTCTAAGCATGTCCTAGGCCCTAGGGCAGGGGTGGGCAAACTTTTTGACTGGAGGGCCACAATGGGTTCTTAAACTGGACCGGAGGGCCGGAACAAAAGCATGGATGGAGTGTTTGTGTGAACTAATATAAATTCAAAGTAAACATCATTACATAAAAGGGTACGGTCTTTTTTTTTGTTTGTTTTATTCATTTCAATTCGGCCCTCGGGCCGTAGTTTGCCCACGGCTGCCCTAGGGTGAGGATTAAAAAAAGAAGACAAAGAAATGAAGAGGCATATTAGGAACTAGTTTGAAAAATGAAGGTTGAGATTTGGAGGAATACCCTGCATTCTCTTAAAGGCTTACACTGCTA